GTGTCCATGTTTCAGCCCCATACAGAGCTATGCTCCAAATGTAGCATTTCACTAGTTTCTTCCTCAAATTTAAGTCCAATTTGCTGGTAAAAAGATTCTTCTTCTTGCTAAATGCAGCTTTTGCCATGGCAATCCTGGATTTAATTTCACTAGTACACCTTCCATCATCTGTTTGATTTTTATGCAAGTAAAAAGAATATGGGTGCTCCTCAAGAAACGTATAAAACCGTTACCATTATTTGTATCAGATTCACCAAGGAGAGTAGATTGCGGACGTACAGCTCTCTTTATGTATAGCTTAGAAATGATACACAGTATCAGCTCATTCCCAACTATGTCTTAAAATAGGAATATCTTCCTCAACAATCATCAGACATACCAGTACATTTAGTGAACTGATTGGATTACCCTTAGAAGAAAGGTTTTGTTAGAGGTTCCGTAAAAATTGTGTGAGTGAGAAAGGGCTCTGCAGCCGAATGAAAACGGGACAAAGTTGTAGTGGACACAGTGACACTGGGGATGGTTTCTTTCCGAGCACTTCAGCTTATGCCTGTCTTTTATCATACCATCGAGGTTCGATGTTTTGATTTTACATATCTCTGACTAAGGTTTAAATAGGGCCGCGCCATAGCTGAAGCTGGCTTACCACCGCGGCGGCCCGGGTTCGATTCTGGTTCTGGTCAAGTGGGATTTGTGGTGGACAAAGTGGCGCTGGGGCGGGTTTTCTCCGAGTACTTCGGTTTCCCTTGCCAATCTTCATTCCACCAAATTCTCCATCATCATAATAAACCGGGGTAGGCTACAATAGGCCAATCAGTGTCTGCCGTGCCGAGTGGATCCAGTTGGATTCCACCCCCCACTAAACGAATTAAAAAAAAATTAAGTATTTTATATAAGATTAATGATCGGCCGGCGGGTAAGTCTGACAACCTTACCGCCATCTTTGAGCTGATTGTCTAGATAATGTGGGACCCTCAACGTCTCACAACCCTATGGGCCTTCATGGCCTGGTACAGGGATAGCTTTACTTTTTTTTTATTTGGAGCATAGCTCTGTATGGGGCTGAAACATGGACACTTAGGGCAGTAGATCAGAAACATCTGGAAAGTTTCGAAATGTGGTGTTGGAGAAGGATGGAGAAGATCAGTTGGACCGATTATGTGAGAAATGAAGAAGTGTTAATTAGAGTCAGTGAGCAGAGGAATATCCTACACGAAATAAGAAAACGGAAGGCTAATTGGATTTGTCATATCTTACGCGGTAACTGCCTTCTAAAAGAAGTTATTGAAGGAAAGATAGAGGGGCGGATAGAAGTGACAAGAAGACGAGGAAGAAGACGTAAGAAGATGCTGGATGACCTTGGGGACAGAAGAGGATACTGTCATTTGAAGGAGAAAGCTCTAGATCGCATTAAATGGAGGAATTGTTTTGGAAGAGACTGTGGACCTGTCATCTTGACAGATTACTGATGATGATGATCAAATTATAAAGTTTCCTTTTATAACGTTTTGATCGATTCTAAAGATGACCTAAATGCAATATTATAATTTACTGATTAACTTAATAGTTGCATTAGATAGTGCTTTAGTATTCATTACATGAATAGCGCTAGCGTAAAGGTAGTAATGTTTCATGCTTCGTCATTTATAAGAACCCGTTCTGAAATCGTGGTGAAACGCGTGTCTGTCTCTCGGTCAAGGTCGTCTGCGTCAAGCGCACGAGACGTTGGTGCCGTGGCGTGACTGACAGAGATAGCAGATGCGTTTCTTTCCTCGTCATCCGCGGGAGATACGAAGCTGGAATTGACACTCACAGATCTGCCCTCGTTTCTTGACACGCGGGTTTTCACTGCCAGGGTTGATGTGAAGGGTTAGATGCGGTCCCATAATGAATACGATAAAGGAGACCTGGGCTTATACGTTGTTTTGCTTCTCCAAAGCCAAGAATATTGAGCATTTGCTTTGATGCTTGAAGAAAGTGTGTAAAGGTAACTATCGAGTGCGCCTGACGAAATAAGATTTGTTTTTGACCGTGTTCTCCGAGCCCTGAGTAAACTTGCTGTAAAGCTGCAGTGATTAATTACACGTATCAGCTGCAGAGGTTAAATTAGTGTGAAAAATGCGTGTAGTAGTGACGTTGAGTGGATTCGTGAGAGAGGATAATGAAATGACTGACAGAGAAAACTAGAATAAACCGAGATAATATGTCCCACAGCACTATTTACTATAGATTAATGGTATAAGCGCGTTCAGAATCCTGGTCCGCTACCTGAAATTCTTCTCGCCGACCAAGCAGCTGAAAGCAATGAAATTGTAAACGAAATAAGTGAGTATACAAGGACAGGAGTGTCCCACTAAGTAGATTTACAAAGCGGCCTCCGTAGTCTAGGGGTAACTCAAGGTACGCGGGTTCAAACCCGGCGCAGGTCGTGGAAGTTTTAAGGGCGGAAAAATTCAGGGAACAAGTCCTCCGGGAGGGACTTTAAGCCGTGTGTCCCGTGTCGTAGATTTACGGCACCTAAAATCCTCATGTCTCTAGGAGACCTCTGAGCAAAATTAGGCAAAGTTTCCCGCCCAAATAGTTTCCAATTCCTCCGGTAGATGGGGAAGTATCGGGGACCACTGGCAGAACGGGGCTGATAGCGAGCACCAGTACTGGAAGGGCATGGCGACGGTAGAAATTAAAGGGGGACGCACAATAGATCAACAACTGGTCGCAGTGCATGGGGAAACCCACCCCCTCCAAATAATAATAATAATAATAATAATAATAATAAGTAGAGTTGCAAGAAGTATCAGTTTCCCATACAGAAAGTTCCTAAACCGACCCAGTATGTTATCCAGAGATGGTCATAGCTTCTCGTAACATTTCTAGTGATTTGTCGAACTTGTATCTGGAAATAAGTCACATACTTCCATATTCACACTTTATCAAACTTTATTATTATTATTATTATTATTCTCACAGGACTCAAGAATTAAAGTTAGCACAGCAACTACTCTTCTATGTGTAACTTGTATTCTGAAGATATCCTATCCAAACTTTAGTCAAGAGAAACGTGTGTCCTAATTGAGCTATTTTCTTTGTTTTGCTCGGGTTTTTCAGGTCTTCAGTTCGTCATTTCATTAAACAACATCTGTAGCAGATACAGCGAATATTACGTTAAACATTGTTTACTGTCTCGGGTATATTTTATAAACACGACGTTTTGGACACTGGATCCATTTACATCAGGTGTATTGAGGGAAATGGTCCCATTCCCTTTGGCCCGTTAAGGCGCGTCCACATTACTCGTTCTCGTGCTCGTGATCACCAGGCTTGTGCTCGTCGGGAGACTCGTCTGGCTTTTACTTGTGCCCGTAAATCTTCGTCCAACTACTTCAGTTGCTCGCCAGGCTTCGGCGAGTGAGGATCCGTATATTTACTCGTAGTAGCGAGTCACACGAGCACGAGTAATGTGGACGCACCTTTAGAAAGAGCTAAGTCTCAGTCACGGAAGTAGCTCTTTCTAAGGGGTCCATCTGAGTAAGATCTCTTGCTCCCTTATATCTGATGGCGGGAAGTGATATAATTTCCGAAACACTGTGTACACAATTATACACAAGACACTGGACATTCGTGTGTATGTGTGTGTGTGTTTGTGTTCAGTCTACGTAACGATGCTGTCAGCAACTGAGGCCATATAGCGTCGAATGGCACGATGATAGTGGAAAATGAATGGTAGTTGTCGTGACTGTAACATCTAACACGGTATTTGACCGAAAGAACTGAGGGAAACCACGATAAAACTCAGGATAGTCGATGTGTGAATATTCAAAGAATAGAGGCTGAGTCGACACTAGGGCAATAGTGCGGCTGGAAGGATTAGGTCAATTGAAAAAATCCAATGACATCGGTACTTGAACCCGCGACCTTCCGGCTTGTAGCATAGTGCCATAACCAACTATGCTACCGCGTGCCCCCGATGTACACCAGTTCGTAGAGTAAACTGACTTACCTGTGCACCAATTTTATGCGAGGCTACATACATTCAGTACCGGTCCTTTATGTAGCGTAGTAAAATAAACAGATTTATAACCCTTAAAATCGAAACGACATCGAAAATAACTGAATGAACAACAACGGAACCAGACATATTCTGATATATCGTCTTGAAATAGATTTACAGATATACAACCAGAGGAATTGATATGGAATGGTAAAGTAACAGAATAACTAACGAGGAAACCAGACAGATTCTGATATATCATCTCCAAACAGATTTACGGATTTACAGCCCTACAAATTGATACTAAAATAGCAAAATAAACAACAAGAAATCCGGGTAGATTCTGAGATATCTTCTTCAAATACGCTGCGACCTTCCCCCTCCCCCTCACTGCCTATCGGCAATTGATAACCCTTTCTTTTAGGACAGTTCTGTGATGTGGAACGTAAAAGTACATAACAGCACATAACCGTTCTCAGAAGACAAATATGTCGTTAGTGAAACTGAACGCCAGATAAGGACCTGGACCATCTTGTGCTCGCATGAACAGATTTCCGCAGTCAACTAGCAAAGGGCGAAATGCCTCGCACATGCGCAGTCAGTGGTCGGTTGTCTTACCGTTTGGATGGATAGGCGTGAGTGGAAGTGAGCGGACGTAGTGCCTGATCAGTGCATGAGAAGCGTTGAGTAGTGTTGTTAACTGATATTGCAGTTCTTCAGTAACAGGGGATTTGTTGATTCTGACATCATATTGCGTAAGTGTATCTGCGCTTTCTAGCCTTGTGATTAATGGTCTATTGACGGGGAGAGGTGGTTGGTGGTTGTTGAGGTTATGATGCAGTATGTCTTCAGCTGTGTTAGAAGTGTGTGCGTTTTCAGTTATCTTGTTTTCTGCAGGAATTAAGTAAGGATATTGCAGTTTCGGTGACACTGTTTGCAGTAGGACAACATAGCTGAACCAAGCGGCGGCACATTTTACAACACTGCCCACTTTTGTTCTAAGTATTTTTTTTGTTCATGTCTTGGTCATTAATTTGCAGTCATCTAAGCAATGTAAATACAACTGTTTCAGGAATATGACACCTGTGATGATTTTCGTTACCTTGACTGGAACCTTCCCCCCCCCCTTGGCACTACAGCCCCAGTGGGCCTAGGCCTACCTCCATGAACTTCTCCGTTCACTTTGGTTTTTATAGATCTTACACATTCGGTAGGACTCCTTGGGCGGGTGATCAGCTCGTCGCAAGGCCTCTACCTGTACACAAACACAGAAAAACGCACACCCACGAACTAAACATTCATGCCCCGAGTAGGACTCGAACCCACAATCCCGGTTTCCAAGCGAGCGAAGACAGTACATGCCTTAGACCGCTCGGCTACCGTGACCGGCTTGACTGGAACTTTAGGGAGTTAAATTCTAGTGTGCTGAGGCAACCAGGACTACCCTCCCCACCATTCTGATGTTAGGCCTGCCTGCCCGCCCCTTTTCTCAAATAAATAAAAACCTAAGGTTAGGATTTGAATTACGTTTTTAAAAATTTTGGGGGCGGGGGCTTGTTCCCCTACTGTATCCGCGAAATAGAATTTCACGTTTTCGTTTTATTGTAACGAAGTTGTGAGAAATTTGGTGTTTTTTTCAATGAGGCAAGCCGGATTCCCCGTCGCCTGTGGTGGCAGTTAGTTTGAGGCAAATCCTGTTTGGGGTGGGACATGAATATTTTAATGGTGCCTGCGTTTGCTTACACTAGCCATGACAGCATACTTAATATCAGTAACTAGGCATTTAATATTTCTCGTTTTCAGCATTACTTCGAGCAAATGAATGGCATGCAAAGTGTCGCACTTGCGTAACTGATGCGAAGACGCAGTGCCCACACGCGCAGACAAAATTATTTGGAGGGGGGGGGTTGCGGCGGTATGTTTGCCAACAGATTACTTCTGAGCAGTTTAGTTTCATTGGTCGATCTTGAATATTCAAGGTAGAAGAATGGTTTTATTTTCAAATAATTTCAATTGTTGGTACAAATGTGTGGCATATTTCCTTCAAGGAGTCAAGATAGGTCAGTCGGTATAGCGACGGGCTGGACGGCCGGGGTTCGAATCCCGGTATGAGCAAGAATTTTCTCCACGACATCCAGAATGGCTCTGGGGCCCATCCACCCAATGGAGTCTGTGAGGAAAAGTTCAGTCAGTCATTTCTGCACGGGAGTATGTGAAGAAAGGACTCAGACCGGATGTAGAGGAATAGCCATTGTTGGGACCGTTACCAGGAAAGTCTACTAACAGTCTTGACAATATTAGACTGTGCGCTCTAGTGAACTGTGAAGGGTGGAAAAATACACATACACACACACACTCTCTCTCTCTCTACATGACAGTATGAATTTTAACATTATTTTTAACATTTATGAGATTTGTGAGTTGTGAGATGGAAACAACAAAAGGGGACTCAATCTAAGGTTCTGATTTCATGTGTAGTAATAGATATCCCTAAAATATACAACAGTAAATTTGCGGGAGGAGGGAGTAGAATGTAAAATTGCAACATGGAAGCTGCGTGAAGGCGACGACTACGCGTCGTTACTGATAGGCACGTAAAGTTTGATGTGAAGATACATTATAGGCATCCCTACTTATTGTCACGTGCCGGGGGGACGCGCGACGAAAATGACGGAGTCTAGTTCGGATGATTGGATTTATTAGCACTTCGGTTACAACGTCTCTTAATTACATTTACTACAGCGCTATCGCTGGGGCCACGCCTTAGCGTAGTTTGTTGAGGCACTATGCTACAAGCCGGAAAGTCGCGGGTTCAAGTCCCCCCCCCCCACACACACACACACACTAGTCCTCTCCTGGTAATGCAAATTAAAACTCAGGAACTAGCGCTTCAAATCACTCCAACTATTACACATGAATGAAGCCTTCAAATCACACACCAGGTCTTCATAGGCCGACATCTTATTCCACTCCNCCTGGCAACAGCTTCTAGCAATGGAGATTCTTCAGCTTCCGTGTTCATGCCATTGCCGGACGTCCACCGTCTCACAACTGATCTCAGCTCAAAGTCAAAGTTACTTTATGGCTGGCGGTTTACCGCCAATCAGTTCGTCTTGGCTTAAGGCCCCATCAGACCACGATCAGAGATTTTTTCCAACTGAACTCTTGTGGTAATAGACCTTATGTAACATCCTCTCTGACGAGAAATGGGTTTGTCTCTTATGGATACACGTGACCTTTCGTCAAGTGTATATTTCGCACATATAAAATGTTATCGAAAATGTTTCCTTTTTCCCTGAACTTACGGCCCACATCCCACGTTATATAGCCGCAGCACAGACCGCACAGAAAACGGCCTCTTTATTGTTGAGTTTTGTTTACCGAACAGTTGCATAGCAACGGTCGCGTCTCGGACACCATAGAAAATCAATCACGTGATAGCAATCTTGCCGGTCCATTTGCGCGCTGACTGTTGCCTAGCAACAAGCTATAAACATTCGTCCTTTTGTTGAAACGTATCGCCAGGTTTCTATCGAGCCGTTGCCTGGCAATGCGTTGGCATGTCACATTATTATGCATAAAATAACCTATTGTTTGAAAGCCAGTAATAGTTAACATGGCGACGGTTCGAAGCTTTGAGGTTATATCCGACAGATATAAAGTTGACAATCTACATTAAGTAACAAGTTCTTCACAGAAATAAATTGAATGAGAGTATCAGTAATACATCCGTAGGACCAGGGGTGGAAATGGCGCTCCAGATCACTAGAAAACCTTGGGGGAATGCTAAACTCATGTTAAAAGGAAACTGTTACAATATAAGCTCGAGAACTCATTCCCACACGTATCGTTGGAAACAATAGTTAATGACGTCTTGAGGCACTGGAAAGAGCTACCTCGAAATAAAGCGCTCTGGAACTGAGTAGACGGTGTCTTGCCTCGTCAACCCTCATTTCCACACCAGTGTATGCTAACAATCTATGCGGTAGGAATGTGTGTGGTTTTTTTATGGAGTGAGACTGCTGAATCCACTTGGTATGTCTCTAGGCTGCTGAAACACTGTCGAAAAGTCTCTGAGAATATATCACACCTGAAATAAATAGCCTTGCGGAAGAGAAGTTCTGTGTGTTCAATGGGATTTCCGGTATGGCGATTTTGGTTCCAGTCCTTTGTTGAGGACGAATTGCTATCCTCCTATCGATGATGTAACGATCTACATTACTATCTGGTGATACGCAACGCAACCTCGGGGATGTTTTAGACGGCCAAATAACTGCAAGGGCATGTAAGGTTGTAAAGGTTCCGATGGGATATATTACCGTTTACTGTGGTACATAGGTACCAGACTTCATGGCGTCACATCGCAGAGGACCGTAAATTCTTATACTCACAGCTTAATGTCCTCAAATCTAATAGAAACACAAACTACTTTCGCTCTGAATCGTTATGAAGGTCTGAAATCTTTCTTGTACATTGTACCAGAAATCACATCGAAACAGTCTCACTTAACCTACTTTCCTTATTTTGAATTAAAGTAGGCTTATGAAATCACAATGTTGTCTGTGTATCCACCCTTATTAACTCAGAATGACTGAACCAATCTTTATAAAACTTGGTACCTGTGTACGTATATTATGGCACCTAATCCAAACTCAGCGACATACTTCATAAATCCCTACCATCAGTTTGTGTGTCTGTAAGTGTATCATCCTATCGTTGCTAGGCAACGGCACGGTAAAAACGTTGCCACTGCAACGAATACACAATCAACAATAGAAGAATTGAAGAAAGCAGTCTTCTGGGATTTGGCACCGTGTATATGTGGTGTTAACCGACGTTTCGGAGGAACGTATCGCCTCCATCTTCCTCCGAAACGTCGGTTAACACCACATATACACGGTGCAAAATGCCAGAAGACTGCTTTCTTCGTAGTCACCGCCGGGAAAGCCTCAACTCTTACAATAGAAGAATTGTTGGAGGCGTTGTGTTTTTTTGCGATCGGTATCGTATCAAAGAAAAGTAGGCGATTAATTCGTCCAAGAACTTCCTGTTTTCTCTGTAGAATTTTTACTTTTATGCTGCGGACAATATTGTAATGACAATTGTAACTGACAATGCTGGGAAACTGCAAAGAATGGAAGGCCATTAAACTTGTTTTAACGTCGTTGGTGTGGATACGTAAAGTTGACCTTACGACGACACAAACACTCCTTTCGTTTCCGTTTGGACAGTAGGCCGTCGCATGCGTTACGCGTTATGTTAGTGATCGCCAAACTTCATATAATGGCACACCTCAGCTTAGCAAAGATTTCATCGCGCCCTCCTTTTTAACTTCACATGCGCAAATAAAGCTTTTCCAGTTGTTCGTGTTTAAAGTCAGCACATTTTAGGCTTTCTTTTGTCGACGAATAGTATTTATCAGTATTTTAAAAAGGTGAAGTTGTCCCTGTGCTTAACTAATTAAGCACTACGCCATGAGGACGTATGGGGGAGTGGATGTATAGATCCTCATTTTTTGATCTCAGCATTAGTTGGAGGTGAGTGGTCAACTTCACGCCCCGGCCGTTTTACCCCCAGGGAAAGAGCCCCCGGTACCCGTTGGGTTGGAGGTAGGGTGGACCCCAGAGCCAGTCTGGACTACATGGAGAAAATTCTTGACCCTTCCGGGACTCGAACTACGACCCCTTGGTCGTCCAGCCCGTAGCCAGTCGCTATATGGACTACACTATCCATTTTACAGATGAATTGAAAGTAA